GGGGCTTTGTTGTCCCGGCGCACGAGCTTTATCATCCCCCCCCCCCCCCCCCCCCCGAATGATTCGGGGACTGTATAAGTGCATAAGGTGGTCGACGGTGAACGAGAATCCATCGATCTTGCTCAGAAAGAATCAAAGAAGGATCACGATCCTCCAGAGTGAAGGATGAATTTGACCAAGGCATACTTCGTATCTTTTGCAGAAGTCGATGATGACGGGATCAAATGGGCCCATTGTAAAGGGATAAGTGTAGACACTTAAGTGTCCCTCGACGTGGGTGGTGATGGCTTCATCGGGGTCGGGAACCACTACGTGCTTGTCAACCCAATTTTAATCCTTTTTTACCATGGGGAGAACCCATTCCGGAGCTTCAATTTTGGGATTTTTAAACCCGATCCAATTCCGTTAAAACACACCTCATAGACTATTTTGAGCACATTTCTAATATTTTAGAGTGAGAGAGAGAGTTCTTAGAGTGGGGGAGCAATATTTAATCATTATCCATCAATTATTGCTCAATTATTGAGGATTAACAAAGGGAGTCTTCACCCTAAAGGTAAGAATCTATGTCCTAGCTCTCAATTTCGAAATTTTGCAAAAATAGGGTAATTAGAGAGACATTTATTGGGTATGGGGGTTGTTGTATTGCATGCATGCATCCTTGAAGTATGTGGGAAGGTTGTGACCTAAAAATGGTAGAGAGTGGGTTGGGAAATGATGGAATCTTCCACAAAAGAGCCTTAGAACCTTAATGCACACCTAGTGTTTGATAAAATGCTCAAATGAGCTAAAACCATAATCATCTTCCTAATTTTTGGTTCAACTTGTTATATTTCTAAAATAGATTGAAGTTGCTAAGAATTTCGGATCATTTTAGAGTTTGAGAAGCTCAATTGAGGTATGTTGGCTAAACCCCCTTCTTCTTAGAATCGAATCCCATGATGTTCATGTAATTGGAGTAAGTCCTTGATCATTATTGAATTGGCTTGTCCTAATGTGGTTGTGTTGAAGGATGTTGGTTCAATGCTTATTCTAATTACTTCATCATGTCATCTTGCCATTTGAGAATATGTTCAAAATGTGGAATATGTGTTAGGAATGTTAAAACTTCATGTCAAGACTGAAATAAAGGTTGTTATGCCAAATTATATAAAAGACCTCTATGTGCCTAAGATTTCCCAAAATTCCCATATGTGAATTAATGTCTTGAATGGGAAGCCCTATTGATGTTGATAATGATAATGATATTTGAATGTGGAAAAGGGAACTGGAACTATGAAATACGGCCAAGTGCCAAGAATGACTTTGTAATTGTTAAGAAGTACGATGTGAGATGATTGACTGAAGAAGGTAATATCTCAAATGAGATGGCCTAGCCGATCGGGCCAAGTTCGGACTCCATATAAGAACACTGTGGTATTGTATATGAAATTGTGGTAATATCTCAAATGAGATGGCCTAGCCGATTGGGCCGTGATCGGACGCTATGCCGCACACATGGTGGTACTGTGCTGGAAATTATAATGAAATTATGGTAATGTCTCAAATGAGATGGCCTAGCCGATCGGGCCGAGATCGTACTCCGTGTAAGAATACGGAGGTATTGTGAATTGTGAAATATCGATACTAAAGGCCACCTAACTTAATAATACAGAAATTTACTTGAAAATGTATATGATCCTTAACATTATTGTTTCTATATTATTTGAAGCCCTTATTGAATTCTTGATTGTTCCTCTTGTATTATTATTCATTCTATTGAGTTGGTGTTTAGCTTTACATGATAGTGCTATTCGATGGTACTAACGTCCATTTTGCCTGGGGCGCTGCATCTTTAAATGAAAGCAGGTGGTTACATAGCAGACAGTGTTGATCACAAATAGTGCTGCATCCTCTTCTCAGCGGACTCGGTGAGCCCCATTTCATTCCGGGGTCAAGTATTGTACCTTTTATTTATATTGTGGTCATATTTTGAGGTATAGTCGGGGCCTTATTGTCGGCACCATCTTTACTCTCTTTTGTATCTTTAGAGGCTCCGTAGACACTATGTGGGTTGTACATGGGTGCTAGAAAGGTCAAACGGATTATGTTGTATTTTGGATTGTTGTTCCACTAAATCACAAAATGTATGCCTTTTGAAACTTAACAGGAAGTAGCAAAAATGAAATGGTTTAGTAATGTCTATGCATATGGTCCTTCTATTGTTTAGCTAATAAAAACATGCCTTCTCTTATCATGGGTGAGTTGGGTAGAAAGTATCTAACAAGCTTGCTCGGCTAGGTTCACTCGGTTGAGCGCCGGTCGCTCCTCCTGAGGTTGGGGCGTGACAGTTTTTCAACCTTAAAATCAACATTGACCGGAAACCCCCCGGGGATGAACATTTTCAGAGGAGGTTCCGGTACCGATTTCTCGATGACAGTATGCGAAGCGATCCCCTCGGCGGACGGCCACGAGGAGGAAGGAGTTTCTTTTTGGGGAACGATTTTTGAAGTCTTCACCATTTCTTTGAAAAATGGAGGGAAATGAGGGAAAAAGAGGAAGTTAAAGGAATGCACTTGATGACTTTAGATGAAGACGAACAAGAGTTCTTACAAAAGATCCCAAATAACCGAGATATAAATGCCAGAAAGTATTGAGATTTCTAAGGTACGAGGGGAGAAGGCTTGGATGTAAAATTTAAATGAACAAAGGAAGAGGTATTTATAGTTTTTCAGCGGCGGTTCGCTTCCAGGAATGGCCGACCGGTGGCTGACAAGCATTTAATGCCATTAAGACTTGACTGACGAGACGTTTAGTTTGTTTTGTCATTTCCGTCACGGGATATCGAAGTAAGAATCGGAAGCTCATGTCGTTTCTCGTCGTCTACTCTCCAAAAAATGAGGGGCTATCTTTATACGACCAAAATCGAGCTCGCCTGCGATATGGTAGATCAGGCTCGAAACGTGGTAATAAAGGGCTGAAGATCAACCCCAAGTCCCACCGGGTTAGAACACGGGGGCAGAACGCCTGCCTTCGAAGAATATCGAAATCATGATCCCAGAATCGGTCCTAGCCTTGAACGAGTTCGAAGAAACATGTTAGCATAGCCAACAGAAGGCCGAAATATCCGTGTCCGGTCGGATATTACGGCGGAAATCACGACACGTATCGATAAGGGATCGTTAATCAGTAAATCAAGAGATTTATTTACCATTTATAGAATTGTACCTAAAGTAGGACTTCTCTACTATATAAATGGGGTCTGATAATTCATAAAACATATTGTAACGCATTCCAAAAAGCAATATATTATTATTTTTCTCTTTAAGCTCTTATTCATCTGCATCTTAAGACCGATCGAAGTACATCCGGTTAGAGGGTGACTGGTCTTCTAAGACTGAAATTGTCCAATTCGTGTGGTTTGGATTTACTTTATCGTTATTTATTTCAATTGCAACTCAATTTATCATTTTGTATCAAGTTAATCCGTATATCCTTAAAATCACTTACAATTTCAATTGTTATTTAATTTTGATGGTAAAAAAGGTATATTAATGTTTTCAACCTCTAAATTGAAATAGGGAAGACAATGTGCGTCAAATGCAATCAAACTTGAAAAGGCACACTTGGAACTTCTCTTGGCTCTCAAAGCAATTATGGAAGCATAAAATCTCATTATCGTATACCTTGATAGGTGAGATTGTCATTTCATACATATTTTATGCCTTAGATTATTTCACATGTACGTCTCAAGAATGGTTTGTGTACTTACGTTTAGTCTAAGATTGTCTGCCTTGTACAATGTACATTTTTTTAAAAAAATTTCTTGTTGGCATTTGACTATACCTTTGTGTCGTTTTATAGTTAAACTTTGGTGACTTGAAATATTGCCATGTACCTATATAATTATGCTAGATAGTTAATCATTTTTTCCCCACATTTTTGCGCTTTTAAGCTTTGTACAATTCTTAATATATTTTCTATGATAGGAATTGTCCCTGCTTGCCTCCGGTGGACAATTTGGAAAAAGAGACATCAAAGATGTTTTGAAGATGGTAGAAGTTCCATTCAGATATTGAAGATGAACTGTCTAGTTCTCTTTTATTTTTGGTGTAAACATGAGTACTTATAAGAAGCTGAATCTATTTATGAGATTTTGGATAACTTATAATAGTTTAAGGGTTACGAACTAAGGCTTCAATTCTCCTTGTAATTATATAGGACTAGGCTTCAATTCTTCTTGTAATTATATAGAACTACAGTTAAAATAGCACGGGCTAGTCAGTTTTCGGATTGGTCATTCAAAAATAGCCGGTGTTTGCCAAGTCATTAAAAAATAGTCACTATTTTGCTGCAACAAAGACCGGTCCAGCATAATATACTGAAATTCGGTGCACCTGTGTATGAACTTCCAGCATATTATGCTGGACCGGTATACTTTGCTGGCTCCAGTATAATATACTGGAGTTCCATCAAAGTATACTGGAACTCCAAACTCCAGTATAATATACTGAAGTTCCAGTATATTATACCGGAATTCCAATATATTATGCTGGAGTATTTTCCGAATTTTCAACAATGTTTTTGTTCTGATTTATCTTTACATGAAAAGTGGCTAAATTTTGATCTTTTGAAACTGTGGCTATTTTTGAATGACCACTTAAAAATCTGGCTATTTTTTAATTTCTCTCGGGACTACACTGCTTTGTGTAATCCCTGTTTAATACATATATTTTAATATGTTACATTCTTAAACAAAATCTATAATTTCTCGAATTTTATAAATTATCTGTTATGCCTCAAATTATATAAATAATCTGAATTCATCCCTTTCTATTTAGATCAACTTTTACATTTTTACCTATTTTTCAAATTTTATTTTATTTTAATGGCACGTGAGTGGCACGCCCGTTGCCACTGGTGAGAATTTGAGAATTGAGAAATCCATCTCAGCCGCTTCAAGAATGTGTGGCATAGAATGAGATAACCTTTCTGAGATCTTCCTTTCTTCCACCAGAAAAATCAAATATCAACCAACCCCTCTCTCACAAAACCAAACAAATCAAAAAATCAGTTCATTCATCTGAAAAAAAAGTAGCAGCAAAAGAATTTCAAGAAAATAGCCTAGCCATGGCCAACATGATCATGGCTTCCTCCAAAGCCCTAATCACTTCTTCCATTCCTTCATCACCAAGAACCAAACTTTCCCTCCCACAAATTCCAATTCCAAAACTACCCCTCCCCAAATTGCCCAAATCCCCAATAACCCTTTCCCTCGCATCAAATCTCAAGTCAATATCAGTCATTCTTGCTAGCTCATTAGCCTTTGCACCCCCTTCACTTGCTGAAGAAATTGAAAAAGCTTCACTCTTTGACTTCAATTTAACTCTCCCTATTATAATGGCTGAGTTCCTTTTCCTCATGTTTGCTTTAGACAAACTTTACTTTTCCCCATTAGGGAAATTTATGGATGAAAGAGATTCTGCTATTAAAGAGAAATTAAACAGTGTGAAGGACACTTCAGCTGAAGTGAAGCAATTGGAAGATCAAGCAGCAGCTATAATGAAAGCTGCAAGAGCTGAAATATCAGCTGCATTGAGTAAGATGAAGAAAGAGACACAATTGGAAGTGGAGAAAAATTATAAAAATAATTTTTATGCATAAAAATTATTTTTATAATTTTTCTCCACTTCCAATTGTGTCTCTTTCTTCATCTTACTCAATGCAGCTGATATTTCAGCTCTTGCAGCTTTCATTATAGCTGCTGCTTGATCTTCCAATTGCTTCACTTCAGCTGAAGTGAAGCAATTGGAAGATCAAGCAGCAGCTATAATGAAAGCTGCAAGAGCTGAAATATCAGCTGCATTGAGTAAGATGAAGAAAGAGACACAATTGGAAGTGGAGCAGAAGATTGCTGAAGGAAGGAAGAAAGTTGAAGCTGAGTTGCAGGAAGCTTTAGCTAGCTTGGACAAACAAAAGGAGGAGACTATTAAGTCTCTTGACTCTCAGATTGCTGCTCTTAGTGATGAGATTGTCAAGAAGGTTCTTCCTGTTAGTAACTAAGTAATTAATTTCTTTGAAATTTATAATTTGTAATTTGGTTTTTGATTTGATAAAAGTTGCATAAATGTGAAATACTTTGGTACTATCTTATATTGTGAATTTATCTCTAGTGGTGTACATCTTGTTGGAGCTTCTCACTTCTTGTTCCTGATTTAAGTTTAGTTGCATAATTTACATGGGGTGGTGAGTTTTTGAAAAATAATTATGTGAAATTTAATAGTGTCAAGTTTATGGTTGACTTTTTAAGATTGCTGTAACATTTGAGAGTTCCTAAACTAGGGAAATAAATTGGAGTAGAATTTCTTTTCTCTTTTTTTTTTTTGGGGGGNGATTTTTGATTTATTTAAGATAAATCATATCTGTGATGAGAATGCATGGAATATGTTTCAACATGTGGTACACTAATGGACTGTCGAGTAATGGACACATTGATACTTCAGATGTGGATATTTCAGATTGGTAATTTAGAACGGAATTAATGGGTTCACTATTTGTCGGGACCGAAAAAGTCAGGTGTCATGCGGAAGCTACTAATGTAAATCTTGAACGACGATAAATCAGACAGCAAACGAGAAATATATCAAAAGAGACATAAACATTTAACGTGGTTCGGTCAATTGACCTACGTCCACGGCGGAGATGAGTAATCCACTATATAAAAGAGAGTACAAAATATTGAGAGAACAACCTCACGAAGAGGCAAACACAAGTGACATACTAACACTTGTCCCGTAAAGTTCTCCCCCTAAACACGACTCTCTAACCCCATATGGTTACATTGTAGATGCTACTGAATGAGAAGGAAGGATCCTCAATTTATAGAAGTCCACACCTTTTTCTACAAGAAAAAGGACTAGCCAATATGGAAGATTTATAATTTCCTTCTACGAGAAGGAAAACCCAATTATGGTAAATATGTTGCCCTTTCCTTCAAGAAATAGGAAAATCAAATATGGTAAGAAAATTAGGACAGCACGTAACACTATTCTCTTTGTATTGAACTTGTGAAATAGGAAAGAACTGTTTCCTTTCAGTGGTGGAGCCACTTACGTTGGCACCCCTTCGCTGTAAAATTAAGCTACGTTGCTAGGTAATTTTATATATACTCTATATGAATCCCCTTAATTTTTTTCTATGTTTACTTCTTTATGTTTTGACACTGTCCACCATTGTTTCCTTTAGCTGTAGTTAAGCTAATAGTCAAAGATGTCTGTTCCACCTTCCTACTTTCGAGTGGTAAGTATTTATACATCTGCGGCATTGATCAGTTTAGAATGAAAGCCAGTTTGTGATCAATACTTATTCTGGAAATCACTGATTGTTTTCTCACACTTTTTCTTGTCATTATGTACATTACTTGTAGTATTACTTTGGGTAGGGCATAAGTTTTTTGTTGCTGATGCATTAAGGTATGCCATAACTCTAGTAGTATATCTTCTCCTATGAAAGAACAGTAAACAAATTGACAGCTTCTTTTATCAACTGAGGAAAAGAAAGTTGTATAGGCTGGTTGAGATAAAGAAAAAGCAAAAGAAGTAAATGCAAGATTAAATAGCCAATACGTTTCTAGAATGGACAGCTGAATGTTTTCTCACTGTTGTGGTTGCATAAGCTGGTTATGAAGCAGAGGCGGAGCCGGAATTTGAAGTTACTGGGTTCGAGATTTTATCCTTTTTATGTTACTGGGTTCTAAAGTAAGAATTTGTACTTATTCAATGGATTTCTTAAGACAAATATAGGATTTACACTAAAGCTATTGGGTTCAGCCGAACCCGTTATCGAAGCTCTAGCTCCGCCCCTGTTATGAAGTAGTTATGACCTATGCTATATGTTTATGAGTATATTCACTCATGTCGGCCTGTTTGGCACGGGTACAGCAATATATGTCATCTATAAGCTAGGCTTCAAGAGACTGGTAAATCGAAATTCAGTTTCAGGACCTTAATATATGATCTTTCTGGAAATTGAGTGAAGCAAAGGATGTTTGTTTTAGCACTCAAGCAATTTATGACTCTATTTAAAAAAGGCAAAATGGCCTCGGAATCACTTAAACTTACACTTGTTTGTCAACCCGGTAAATAAACTTACTATTTTCCGATTTGAACACCTCTACTTGATCAAAACCCATATTTTAAACACCTCCACCAGAGCGTGAACCTCAATTGCGCTGACAAGGATTACGCATCACATGCTAAACTTTTTATTATTTGACATGTGTAATTAGTGAGTCCCATTTTTAAATATTTTTTAAATTAATTTCTGAAAATTTTAAATTCATTATCTTTCTTTCTCTCCAGCTCTATCAAAACAATTCCAATGGTGAACCAAAGCATCACCAGAAGGTCCAGAACCACAATCTTCGTCTACCACCACCATAAGCTCTAAGCCATAAATACTAATTAGACATTTAGACCTACTATCACCATAAAAGGAAAAAATACCAAATCAACCACAACAACCTTTAGCGACTCCAACTGATCAAATTTCAGTGTCAAACTCAATTTCAACGGCACCAGCAAAATTGGAAAATTCCTCCAATGCAAACTTTGATTTAGTGATTTCAACAAAAAGAAAAAATGGTCTAACCCTAAAAAATATTTCTTTTACTCCAAATATCAACCCCAATATACATTAGTTATTATCACCACTGTAAACAAAGGAATATGTGGATGGGAAGAAAGGGGTGGCGGTTGAAATGCAAGGGGAAACACATCTGGCGAGGAAGGGATTAAGGTGCTAGGATTTTGGGGGAGGGGGGGAGCGTGAGGGAGATGATAGAATGTTTTTGTTCTTTTGGGTCTTTCCTTTCTATTTTTAATTTTTATTTCTGATTTAAGTATTTTATTTTAATAAAAATCTATATTCACGAGCTTTGGTGGTCGGTTACCTAAGTATAGCTGGTGGAAGCTAACAAGTATCAAATAGTTATGTATGTAAATTGGCATGAACACCGTCACGATACAAAATAAAAAGGAAATAATATGTATTTATCTGATTGTAAAACCCTCTCCACAGTATACAAACTAAAAGAAGCAACTTTTATTTGATGTAATTGGATACAAAGTCGGCCAGAGAATAAAAAGATAGAGATAATGGGCGACAAATAATTAACCTCATGCATGAAAATAATTATAACATGGATGTCCGTTTATTACTCCGTTATAAATAATTTTCCTGAAGAAAATTATCCGTTTGGTATTCTATTGAAGTTTATCTACAAGCAGCTGATACAGGCAGGTTGCAAGCAACTCAATTAAATGATTTGCAGCAGTTTCTTATTAAACAGGCAGGTTGCAAGCAACTCATGCAGACAGCTTACAAGCAGCTAAAAAAAAGCCTCACACCTGCTTCTTGAAAAAATCCGCAGCTGCTTCCTTTCCTTTATAAATAGAGGACTTTTCAGTTCATCATGTACAACAGTTTGAAGTTGAATAATATATCAATCTCTCTCTATACTTGTCTTCGATTTATTTTTTTATAGTTTTTATTTTATAATACGTTATTAGCACGAGACTCTGCCATTTTGAGCACTTACTTCGAATTTAATTTTTATTTCAGTGTTCATCTCCGATGTAAGGCGACACTCTTATGTACGTGGTTAGATCTTCTTCATTCCGAGCCTCATAAGGCAGATTATATCCTTGAGGTGGTGAGTTTTTCTTCTTGGCAGTAGTGATGTAGATATCACTTACATATGGAGTGGCCAAATTTGCGTAATTTAATTTGAGCCTTTTGTTCATATTTTAATATCTTTATCATCGCTTGTTTGGTTATATGTTACGTATATAATACCTATTTTGGTATTTGTTTTCATCCTAATTATCTTAATAAAGGATTACAAAGTAGATAACATTGTTAAATCCACTTAAACTCCAGCAGAGTTTGCAACAAATATACAACCACCAGAAGTGGTTATGTTTTGTATATCTCATTGTAACTAAATTCTGTTAACCACCGGAAGTGATATATGTCTATGACCACCAAAAGTGATAATTTAGGCTTTTTATGATTACAATTAAAGATAAACTAGAGAAATATTCTCGATATTACATGCACGCCTCGATTTGCTCCTGAAGTAGTAAATATTTTAAAAGAGGTTGAAGCATCACAATTTGATGTGATTAATGCGCGTTCAGATAATTATGTTTGATTTCCTGAAGGATGAGAATTTTTGATAAATATTAATCAATTCCCTGAAGTGAATGTGATAATATTAATAAAGTCATAAATATGTACGCGCTCTTGTTGTAAATATATTACAATTTACCTCCAGAAGAGTTAATATAATTGAGAGAATATATACTCAATATTTCATATTTTAAATTTGCTCCTGAAAAAGTAACACAATTGAAATTTTCTCATGAAGTAGGAAAATATTTTGAAGCAATATCTTTCTGTTCTTAAACAAAATAATGAGTTATTCAAAGTTTTTTTTGAAGCACATTTTCATTCCCTGGAGTGAACGAAGAAATACCACAACTCACCTCTTGAAGAAGTAGAATAATAGAGGATATAAATATTATTTTTGTAGCATAAAGATCATTTCCACACGTACTTGTTGTACGTAAAATATCTTGGATAATTTTATTAAGTATCATTCTAAGGCAAAAGCATTCTTGTAGAATGCTTTGTACTACAACCACATTGATATATTATGGTTAGTTGTTATTAACTACCCCGAAAAAATTAACAACTCATGCATATTTTCCTGAAGGATATAATGACTATGTGGTTGTCGCTTTGATATAAAATATTCAGATGTTAATGGCGTTTCTCCCTGAAGGAGATATTTGTCACAAAGTTGGTCGTAAAAATATTGAAATTCTTGATTTCTGACATTTATAAATTTAGAATTGTCTTTATATTGTTTTATTTGATTAAGATTTTCTCTCATGATACCAGAAGTATCTGAGCAATATTTGATAGTACAAAATGTATCAAAAACTCCTGAAGAACTAACTGTTTGTCTAGAAGACACGTGACACCAGTAGTGTCCGAATAATATTAGATTGTGGATAATAAATGAAGGATATAGAAGAGCTTATATACAAATATATCATTCATATTATATGATGATGATCAAAACATATGTTGTAGTAAACCCGAAGTTTACTGATACAAATGGTTATCAT